ATGTGATCTTATTTCTCTCTCTGGCTGCTTTTAATAGTCTGTCCTTATCGCTGATCTTTGCCAATTTTATTACTATGTCTTGGTTTTGTCTTCCTTGCATCCCTTGTGTTGGGAGATCTGTGGATCTCCATGGCCTGAGAGACTATCTCCTTCCCCAGATTGGGGAAGTTTTCAGCAATTACGTCCTCAAAGACACTTTCTATCCCTTTCTCTTTCTCTTCTTCTTCTGGTATCCCTATAATGCCAATATTGTTCCATTTGAATTGGTCAGTTCTCTCAATATTCTTTCATTCTTAGAGATCCTTTTTTCTCTCTGTGCCTCAGCTTCTTTGTATTCATCTTCTCTAGTTTCTATTTCGTTTATTGTCTCCTACACTGTATCCAATCTGCTTTTAATACCCTCCATCATGCTCTTCAACGATTGGATCTCCGACCTGAATTCATTCGTGAGTTCTTGGATATCTTTCCATACCTCCATTAGCATGTTGATGATTTTTATTTTGAACTCCCTTTCAGGAAGAGTCATAAGGTTCATATCATTTAAACCTTTTTCCAGAGTTACATTAATTTTACTGTGGACCAGGTTTCTTTGGCTTTTCATATTTGTATGTGGCGACCTCTAGTGTCCAGAAGCTCTACTCTGGAGCTGCTCAGCCCCTAAAGCAATGTCGGGGGTCGCAGGGGAGCGGTATTGGTGCTTGGGGGGAGGAAAGAGCTGTTTTCTGCTTCCCGGCTGCTGTGCCTGTCTCCACTGCCTTATCCAGTGGGCCGAGCACACAAGTATAAGCTTTTGTCCCAGAGCAGCTGGATATGGTTCCCTGCTTTCCACAAGCAGCTGGAATCTCAGTCTCTCCAGGAATTCTGCCTGTATTAGCTTTCCAACCCAGTAATCATATGAGTATCATGAAAGCACCATGAAATGTAGGTTTGTGCTCCCAGAGCAGATCTCCAAAGCTAGGTATTCAGTAGTCCCAGGCCTTCCACTCCCTCCCTGCTCCATTTCTCTTCCTCCCACTGGTGACCTGAGGTGGGGGAAGGGCTTGGGTCCCGCCAGGCCACAGCTTTGGTACATTACCCTGTTCCGTGAGGTTTGCTCTTTTCTCGAGGTGTATGCAGTCTGGCGCTGTCCTCTTTCCTGTTGCTCTCTCAGGATTAGTTGCGCCAACTATATTTTCTAATTGTGTACAGTTTTAGGAGGAAGCCTCTGTCTCTCCTCTCACACTGCCATCTTTAATCCCTTTTGTTTTGTTTTTTAACTTCATACTTGCTTGGTCAGTAATTGCTCTACTATGTATTGTGTACAGTTTTAGGAGGAAGCCTCTGTCTCTCCTCTCACACTGCCATCTTTAATCCCTTTTGTTTTGTTTTTTAACTTCATACTTGCTTGGTCAGTAATTGCTCTACTATGTTTACTGTGGGTTTATTTTCATTGCTGAAAACTATTTAGGCTTTAAGAACATTTCCATCTACAGAAGTTCCTTTAACATATCCTATAATGCTGTTTTGGTGGTGGTGAATTCCTTCAGCCTCCATTTATCTAGGAAATGTTTAATCTCTCCTTCAATTTTGAATGATATAACCTTTCTGGGTGGAGGATTCTTGGTTGAAGATCCTTCTGTTTCAGTACATTAAATATTTCATACCACTCCCTTCTGGCCTGTAAAGTTTCTGCTGAGAAATCTGCTAATAGCCTGATAGGATTTCACTTATAAGTAATTTGTTCTCTCTCTGGCTGTTTTCAATACCCTCTCTTTATTTCTTAATCTTTGTCATTTTAATGATTATATGTATTGGTGTTGTCTTCATGGTTCCTTTTGTTAGGGGATCTCTGTGCTTCCATGACCTGGGTGTCTATTTTCTTCCCCAGAATGGGGACATTGTCAGCAGTTATTTCTTCAACAAGACTTTCTATCCCTTTGGCTCTCTCTTCTCCTCTGGTAGCCCTATTATACAAACATTGTTTTGTTTGGAGTTGTCACACAGCTTTCTTAGCATCTTCTCATTTCTAGAAATTCTTTTTTCTCTTTATTCCTCAGCTTCTTGTTTTCCTGTTCTCTGATTTCCATCTCATTGTCTCCTCTACTTGCAGCAATCTGTTGCTCATTCCACCCCCATTGTATTTTTCATTGCAGTTACTGAATTCTTCAGCTCTGAGCAGCTCTTCTTCAACTTTTCTGCCTCTTGTTGAAGTCCTCCCTGAGATTGTCAATACTTTCCCCAGATCAGTGAGTCTGTTTATGACTGTTACTTTGAAATCTTTATCAAGAAGATTAGTGAGCTCTATTCTGTTTAGCCCTCTTTCCGGTGTCTTATCCTGTAGTTTTGTTTGGGACATATGCCTGTCTCCTCATTTTGTCAGGGTTTCTGTGTCTCTTCCTTTGTATGAGATAGAGCTACTATGCACACTGGTCTAGAGAGTAATGGCTTTATGAAGAAGGCATCCTGTGGTTCCCAGAAGCTCAAGAGTCTTTACTCACCAGTGCCTGCTTCTCCTTTGTGGTGAAGCCCCAGGTGCTGTTGGTGAGCTGTGGGCAGGGCTGCCTTTCTGCCTGTTTGCCAGCAGTGGCCTGTCTCAGTGTGCTGCAGCTGGCAGCTCACCTCAACTGGCATTTTGTGAGCCAAGCAAAAGAGTTCCTCCTCCGACTATTGTGAGTGGGGCCACCCTCTGCCTGCCCTGCAGCAATGGCAGCACTGCAGGGTTGGGCCAGGTGGGGTGTGTGTGCCAGGGTGGGCCACCAAGGAGGAAGAAGAAGTGCTAGGAGCTGGCTCCCACAGGCGCCTCCAAGACAGGGCTGAGAAAGCTGGGAAAAACTCCATCTGCCTGCCAGGCATCAAAGTTCAACACTGCTGGGCAGAGCAGCCAGGACTGGGGAATGTAGTCCACCTGCCCTTTCTCCTGCAGAGAGAGCTCCATCCAGTCCTCACTCCTCTGGCAACCTTCCCATTGCTGGTAAATCTTTCAGACTTCTGCCTCTGTTTTGGGTCTCAGTGGACCTGACAGAGCATGCCTGTCTTCCACCATTAGTAGGAGTCTCAGCCTTCCAAAGTGTTCCAACTCTCCCTGGTGTCCAGCCCTGGAAATCACCAAAGCCCAATCCAGTGTGGACTTGTGTTCCCAGAGCAGGTCTCCAGGGCTAGGTGTGCAGAGTTTTGAGTGCTTATTCCCTCCCTGCTCTGTCCCTCTCTCTCCCACTTGTGGGCTGGGACAGGAGAAGGAATTAGGTCCTGCTAGATCATTCATCTGCCACTTCACCCTCCTCTGTGTTGTCTTCTCTTCCTCACCAGGTGTATGTGGTCTGTTCTGCAGTTTTCAGGTCATTTTTCAGGTTTAGTTGTATTTGCTGTAGTTGTTTCCTTGGTGTGTATGTGGGAGGAGGTTTCTGTCTTGTCTTCCTACCCTTCCATGTTTTTTCTCCTCCCTTCGTCTTTCCACTTTCTTGATGACTTCTGTGAGCACAAAAGTTTTTACTTTTGATAAAGCCCAATTTATCTATTTTTTTCATTTGTCACTGGAGCATTTGGTGTTATAGCTAAGAAACCATTGTCTAATCCAAAGATCATGTGATTTATTTACACCTACAGTTTCTTCTGAGAGTTTTATACTTTTATACCTTACAGTTAAGTCTATGATCCATTTTGAATTAATTTTTTATATGGTATAAAGTAAGAGTCAAAATTCCTTCTTTCTCTTGTGAATATCTAGTTGATCCATTATCTTTTGAAGATATTCTTTCCCTCACTAAATTGACACCCTTGTAAAAAATCAATTTATGGTCAATAAATATAAGATTTTATTTCTAGACTCTCAATTCTGCTCCATTAATCTATATGTCTAGACTTGTGCCAGTAAGCCTACAGCTTTGTAGGAAACATCAAAGTCAAGAAGTGCAGTTCCCTCAAGGTTATGAACTGAATTGTATACCCTCCCCCCAAATCCATATGTTGAAGCCCTAACCCCCAATGTGGCATATTTAGAGACAGACACTTGAAGGAAGAGATTAAGGTGAAATGAGATTGATATGGACTGAACTGTGTCCCCCTGAAATACATCTCAAAGCCCTAATATCCAATGCAATGGTATTTGGAGATGGAAACTGAAACGCAATTAGACTTAGATGAGGTGATGAGGTGATGAGGTGACAATCCTCATAATGGGCAAGAAAAGACATTAGAGAGTTGGCTCACTGGTGTGCACTTCCCCCTACCCCCCCAACCAAACACTCCTTCCCTAGCATGTCAGGACACAGTGAGAAAACGACCATCAGCAAGCCAGGCAATGTTCTCATCAGAACCTTGTTGGCACCATGATCTTGGACTTCTAGGCTCCAGAACTGTGAGAAAATTAATTTCTGTTGTTTAAGCCAGACAGTAGGTAGTATTTTGCTATGGCAGACTAACATAGTAATTCATCCAACTTTGTTCATTTACAAGATTGTTTTGGCTATTCTTCTGGGTGCCTTGCATTTCCATATGAATTTTAGGATCCACTTTTCAATTTTTGCAAAAATGCCAGTTGGGATTTTGATCAGGATTGCATTGAATCTGCAGATCAATTAGAGTATTGTCGTCTTAACAATATTAAGTCTTCTGACCCATGAGTGAATGAGATTCTTCTCATTTATTTAAGTTATCTATAATTTCTTTCAATAATGTTCAGTAGCTTTCAATGTGCATGTCATATAGTTCTTTTGTTAAATTTATTCCCAAGCATTTTATTCTTTTTGACGTTATTGCCAACTACTCATCTTTTAAATTTTTATTTTGTTTGTAAATACACAGAAATATAATTGGTTTTTGCATTTTGATCATATATTTTGCAACCTAACTGAGCTTATTAGTTCTAATAGGTGTTTACTGGCTTATAGGATTTTATATATACAAAAACATGTCATTTGCCAATGGAGATAGTTTTACTTCTCATTTTTAATCTGTATTTTTCTTCTTTTTCTTGCCTAATTTCCCTGGCTAGAACCTTCATTACAATGTTGAATAGAAGTGGCGATAAAGGGATAAAGGACATCCTTGACTTGTTCCTGACCTCAGGTGGGAAATGTTAATCTTTTCACCATTAAATATGTTAGCTGTGAGATTTATTAGGCCAAAGAAATTCCTTAGTAGTCCTAGTTTGTTTTGTTTTTATCATGAAAGGATGTTGAATTTTCAACTGCTTTTCTGCACTGATTGAGGTGATCATGTGGTTTTTGTCCTCTATTCTGTTAATACAGTGTATTACACTGATTGATTGTCATATGTTGAATCAATTTTGTATAGATTCTACTTAGGACATATAATCTTTTTTATATATTGCTAGATTTGGTTTGCTAATATTTTGTTGAGGGTTTGCTAATATTTTATGTATACATTCATAAACAACATGTACACACACAATGAACATAAATATTGGTCTGTAGTTTTCTTGTCAAATTCTTTATCTGTTTAAGTTTCAAGGTAGTACTAGCCTCATAGAGTGAGTTGGGAAGTGTTCGGACCTCTTTTATTTTTCAGAACACTTTGTGAAGGATTGCTATTAATTCTACTATAAAACATTTGGTAGAATTCACAAATAAAGCCATCTGGAACTGGAATTTTCTTTAAAGGTAGATTTTTTATTACTATCAATCTCTTTCCTTGTAATAAATCTGTTCAGATTTTCTATTTCTGCTTGAATCAGTTCCAGTAGTCTGTGACTTTCTAGGTATTTGTCCCTTTCATTTAGGTTGACAAATGTGCTGGCATACAATTGTTCATTGTATGGACCCTTTTCACTTTTGCAAAGTCAGTGGTAATGTTAGCACTTTCACTTCTGAATTTAATATCTTTTTCTTGGTCAGTTTTAACTAATGGTTTGTCAATTTTGTTGATCTTTTCAAAGGAAGACCTTTTGATTCTGCTGATAGGCCTTTTCTATTCTCCATAGCATTCATTTCTGTTCTAATCTTTATTATTTCCTTACTTCTATTTGCTTCAAGTTGTTTTTTAATTAAAGCATAGTTGACATAACATTCTAGTAGTTTCAGGTGTACAAAATAGTGATTCAATGTTTATATAAATTATGAAATGCTTACCACAATACTATAGTTACCATCTGTTCCCATACAAAGTTAATACAATATTATTGACTATATTCCCTATACTGTATATTTCATCTCTGCAACTTACTTTGTAACTGGAACTTTGTACTTCTTTATTTTCCCCTTCACCTATTTTAACCATCCTCCCATGCCCTTCTACCTGGCAACCCCCAGTTTGTTCTCTATATTTGTGAGTCTGTTTATGTTTTGTTTGGTTCCTCATTTGTTTTTTTTTTTTTTAGGTTCCATATAAGTGAAATCATACAGTATTTGTCTTTCTCTGTCTTATTTCACATAGCATAATACTCTCTAGTTCCATCCATGTTATTGCAAATGGCAAGATTTCATTCTTTTTTATGGCTGAGCAAGATTCCATTGTATATATACCACATCTTCTTTATCCAGTCATCTAGTTGTGGTTACTCAGGTTGTCTCCACATCTTGACTATCATATATAATACTGCAATCAACATAGGGGTACATATATCTTTTCAGATTAGTGTTTTCATCCATGAGGAGTAAATCCCCTAAAGTAGAATTACTAGATTTTATGGTAGCTCTATTTTAAATTTTTTGAGAAACCTCCATACTATTTTCCAATTTACATTCCCATCAATAGTGCAAAGTCCCTTTTCTTCACATCCTCATCAAAACTTGTTATTTCTTGCTTTTTTGATACTAGCCATTCTGACAGGCATAAGGTGATATCTCATTGTGGTTCTGATTTGTATTTCCCTGATGATTAGTAATGTTGAGCATCTTTTCATGTACCTGTTGGCCATCTGTATGTCTTCTTTGGAAAAATATCATTCAGGTCTATTATTCAAATTTCTTAAGGTGGAAAGTTAGGTTGTTGATTTAAAATATTTTTTAACATGTGTGTTTATAGTTATAAACTCCCTTCTAAGCACTGCTCTAGCTGTATTTCATAAGTTTTGGTATGTTTTTGATATGTTGCTTTTATTTTCATTATTAATATAATCACTTCAGCTCTCCTTTGGTTATTGTTTACATGGTATACCTTTTTCTATCCTTTTACTTTCCATCTGTTTGTATCTTTAAATCTATTGTCACATTTAAAATAAATTTAAATCTATTGTGACAGCTTATACTTGGACCACATTTTTACTTTCATTCTGCCTGTCTCTCCCTTGAAGTATTTAATGCATTTATATTTAATGATTTAATGTAAAGTCTACCATTTTGCTATTTGTTTTCTACGTATCTAATGTCTTTTTTGTCCATTCCTCCATTACTGTCATCTTATATATTAAATAGATATTTATAGTGTAACATTTTAATTCTCTTGATGTTTCTTTTACTATATTTTTTAAAGTTATTTTCTTGGTGGTTACCCTGGGGATCATAGTCTTACCCCCTTATCCAGTTTTGCTTTCTGTAGTTTCAGTTACCCACTACTAACTGCAATCCAGAAAGAGAGGACCCTCTTCCTGACATATCATCAGAAGGTCAGTAATAGCCTAATGCTATATCACAGTGCCTACATCATTTGTCTCACTTCATTTCATCACACAGGATTTTATCTTCTCACATCATTATAAGAAGAAAAAGTATAATACAAGATATTCCCAGAAGGAGAGAGGGAGAGAACACATTCACATAACTTTTATTAAGGTATATTATTATAACTGTTCTTTTATTATTAGTTATTTTTTTAATCTATTACTATGCCTAATTTATAAATTAAACTTTATCATAGATATGTATGTATAGGAAAAAAGCATATTATATATAGGCTTTAGTACTATCCATGGTTTTAGGCATTCACTGGGAGTCTTGGGATGTCTTCCCCACAGATAAGGGAGGACTACTGTACAATAACATCTAAACTTATAACTGTAGATTTTGTTCTGCTTCAGGTTTCTTCTTGGAATCTGAGTAGTATAGAAAAAATTAATTCCAGAAAAATAAAGAGGAGATTTTTCAACTCACAAACAACATTTAGGACACTGGGAGGCTACTATTATAACAAGTACTTGCCTCTGGTATGAACACTTACCTTGTCTAAAAGTACATTCTGCCACAACCTAAAGATACTGAGGTAACTTCTATCCCTGGCACCAAAAGATGTAAAGAAAAACTGCAAAGAAGAGTAGGACAATTTTAGTGTCATGGAAAAAAAGGGAACAGTATCTGTCACAAAGGTCAAAACAAATATGGTCACTATGGTCAAAACAAACTAGCAGGTCACTGCTGCCTACTTTATATACTATTTTTGTTTAATCTTCTGCTACAATAGAAGAAAAAAATTCAAATGGTGCATGGACAAAGTGTCCAAAAATTGCATCTTATGCAATTGTATCACTATTAACTAGTAAAAGAAGCTTGAAATACATAGGTATTTATGTTCATCATAATTTAAATATTAAAATTAATCTAAATATAAACATGAAAAAAATTAAAATTTTATTTATTCTGAACTTTGCAAAGAAATGTGATTTGGTGGCCATTTGAGCCAAGTATACACAAAGAATAAGGAAAAAAATACAACTGATTTCAGAAATAGATTTATTTTAAAGATCTTAAAATTATAATATCTTTTCTAGTCTTCAAAAAAAAAGTTCAGAAATACCTAATCTCTACTAATTATAAGCACAAAACATCCATGTTATCACTAAACTTTGCTTTGAATGTTACAGAAGAAAAAGCATATTTCAATCTTTTTAATTTTGTGTTTGCTTTTAGCTCTATCTCTTCCTCTACATTTAATTGGCTTTTGCAAAGTCACATTTAAAATAGACTTTTATGAGAAAACCTGACAAGTGTGAGCACTAAATACAGTCTCTCAACATATCATCTCTTCTGATCCCCAAGTCAGTGACTTTTCATGATTGAGTGATTATTTTTAGGAATGAAAAACTCAGTTCTATGTTTGATTTATTAAATAAAAAGTCAAACAAATTTTGGGTGCTTACACATTTCATAGAAGTGCCACTTTCCAATTACTAAATTGAAACCTTCCTATATATTTTTTCATAAAGCAGAACCTTTTACAATGAAGATATAACTACAAGCTCTAGGAAAAAGATCAATGAATCAATATAGTAAGGTAGGTAGGACCTGGGTCACTGTAATTTAATTGCCTGGGTTCATGTCCTGGCTCTACTACTTAGTTCTAAGACTTTGGGTCACTTTTCTTTAGTTTCCTTATCTGCAAAATGAGAAAAATAATGGTACCAAATTAATGAGAATTAAATTAGAAAATATATGTAAAGAACTTAAAACAATGCCTAGAACAAGTATTTCAACAAATGCTAGTTGTTGTTATTAATTAAAATTAAATGCCTTGGGGTGAAGACTTAATAATGTATATTACTGTTGAGTCACTGTATCATGTACTTGAAACCAGTATAATATTGTATGTCAACTATATTTCAATTTGAAACAAGTAATTAATTAATCAATTAATTTAATTTAATTTAATTTAATGCTTGACCCTGCAGTTTCATTACATTTGTGAAAAACAATCACACATGAGCTGGAGAAGGCATGGCCAGGCAGCTCACTTCAGCATTGGGAGTGCTGTATTAGAAATGAACTAATGGTCAAGGAAACCATGGCAAATCCATTCTCTGAAATGCTGAACAGCAGTTTCATAAACAGAGAGAAGTCTAGCTATATGTCTGAATCCAAGAGATGTTAAGTTTCTTTCTAAAAAAGGAGAGCTGAAGAATACATGTATAGGATAGCATTCACTTTTACATAAAGAAAAATTATGTTTATGTATGTGTATATATATATATATGTTTATATTGATCTATATATATAAATACAAAGGAAGAAAGTCTGAAAGGTCTGAAAAGATACATACCAAACTGATAACAATGTTTGCCTTCTAAAAGAGTTAATGAGATTGGAGATTAAAAAAAGCATGGAAGGATGATGTTAGTTTTACAATTGTCTGATGATTTTGTTAAGCGATGCAATGTATGAATTGTAAAATTAAGAAAAAGTTTATTTTAGCTCTACTTCTCTTCCTGAACAGTTCAGTCCCAACCTGTTGGTGGACCCGCACTGGAAGTGAGGGTGGGGCAGAGGAGTGGCCCAAAGCAGGGTATCGGCCAGAAAAGAACAAGGATGCTGTCCACATAGAAGGGCTAACCTGTGTGGTGGGTAAGAAGGGTCTCACATACAAAGGTGATCTGATGCAACTTGTTAGAACAAGAACAGGGTGAGGGACATGAGTCAAAGCCCAAGGAGGGTGACCACATGAAGGGGTGGCTTGGTGTGTGTGTCAAAGCCCAAGCATGGTGACGGATGTGGCCACACAAAGGGGAGCTCTGGGCAGAGCCAGAGCAGATGAGGGCTGCACAGTGTGACACGGTCTGTGAGGGCAGCTTTGTGCTGGGAGTCAGAGCCAGACCAGGTGAAGGAGGGAGACCACACAGTGACAGGCTGGCAGGAGGGGCAGCAGGCTGACTTGAAGTGTCCAAAACCAAGTCATGTGAAAGGGTATCCATAGGGGGAAGAGTGGCTGAGGAAAAGACTGGCCACAGACAAACAGGATAATGGGAGCCTGGTTCCCACATCAGGAAAGGGAAGAATTACAAATATTACAGAAATGAGCTCTGTGACGCTGGACAGGAATGAGAGGTACGTACGGTGTGAATTCATGGTTTACGACAAGATTATAGATAGGGAAATAAACCCTAATGTGTAAGTGGGTATTTATGTGTATTATGTAAATGGCATGTAATTTTATATATTATATATACAATACCCTTGTTCTTCCCTCTTAGAGGGCTCAGAAACAGTGATACCCCAATAGCAACAAACATACTGGCTCTGAATATCAGACTGCCCTAAAAGAAACAAGGACCCTTTGGAGAAACAACCAATTCCAGGGCTGAGGCAGGAAAAGCCTCCAACATCTTGTGCCAAAAAGCAAAGAAATGCTCAAACAATGCTGAGAACATACAGGTGGATAATAAAAACGACAGCAATTAAAGGTAATTGTCACCTAAAAACATATCACAATGATTATGTGCTTAGAAGCTACCCAAATCTCTGGTCCCTAGAACAATTTGTTTGCATTAGTTGCTATTGTGCCAGTATTACCAACTAAATGTCAATCCTGGAAGGATTAGGGCATTTAGAAATAATGATGTTTAACTAATGCTAACCCTACCTTTTTTAAGGAAGAAATGAAAAATATGGGGGAAAGTTCTCTGTAAACTATAGAGTACAAAAAAATGTTAGCACTCATTTAAAGTTAATGATCAAGAAGTATTTAAATATACAGAAATCTAGTCTTAAATATGATGTCTCTATTAGACATTCCTAACTCTGAGAAGAGTTGCCTATATCCCCAGCATTCACTATCAGTATGAGGCAGATTTTCTCCACATTATGTAATAAAGCAAAGGTAGAAAAGTTTTCCACCTTTTCACCCTCTGTAACGATCTGGATAGCATTTGGGATGAGTCGAGCAGTTTTCTCCTTGGTCATGAAGGTTATATTCTTCAAAGCAATAGAAATCTAAACACACAAAAGAATGAAAAATTGCAAAATGGGTTTTTCAGAAACATATATAACACAAAATGCCAAATATTACATCAATTGAATTCAGAACATTCAGTTGAAAACCTGAAGAAAACAGTAAGAAGCACATGCTTGCATTCTCTGAGAAAAACAGGGTAAGCAGTCAGATGTTCTTCCCTTCAGTAATGTCCTCCATCAGCTCTTATCTCTAACATTAGAATAAAGTGTGAGAAGACATGTGGGTGTTCATGTTCCAAATTAGCACACACACGCAAACAAAATTCAGACAGTCTGTCACATAAGACATGAGTTTGGCAGTCAAAAGGATGTATGTTTAAGCTTTTTTCAACCTGTAATTTCCCTCTCTAACTATATTAATATATACAAATGGAGATCAATATATAAGGAAAAATATATTACACACTTCTACAACACATAAATATATTTATACATATAAAAGTATAGATATACAAATATATAAATTTACTTTGTAATCTAAAAGACTTTTTTTAGAAGGACTGTATACATTTCTATCTATGCAATTATTTGTATCAACAAATCACATCAAAATATGACTTACTGTAGTTTCCCATCTGAAGATGTTGCTATGGAAACACAGCCAGTTTTCTGAAAGGTATAGTCGTCCCTGAAGCAAAATGTCCCTCTGAAGAGCACAAGCATAATCTACATACACAAAGATAAGGAACAGCTTATTCACAAACATCTGGCAACTTCATAAATTTTATACACATGAAAAATCATCACTCTTTGTTCATTAGTTCACTCATTCACTCATTCAAATACTTAGGGCACCAAACACCAGATATTCTGCTACGCAATAGGCTTACAAGAAATGGATCTTGCCCTCATGAAACACAGTCTAGAGGGAAAGGCATAACAGCAAAGAAATACAAAACTAATCACAATGACCAAAGTGTAGAGAAAGCTATGAGAGAATATAACAAAGGGCATACAGCTGTTGGGGAGATGAGGAAGGGAGAGAGTGTATCAGGAAAAATTCTGCAGCCAAAGTGATCTTTAAACTGAGACCTTAATAAATGGTCAGTTGGTCATGAGGGAATAACATGTGCAAAGCCAGTGGTAGAAAGAAACATAGCATATTTGAGCAACTATACAAAGACATGTCTCTGGACTAGATCCTGTAAGATCTCACGTGCCATAGTAGACTGTGGACTTTATGAGAAGCCTTTGGTGAGTTTTAAGTGGAAAAGACATAATCAGATGTATATTATTAAGCTCCATTTTATTCACACTGTGAGAGTGGATTCAGGTAAAACAGCTGGAAATCGCCAGGAAAATTGATGATGGCTCAGACCTAGAGATGACAATATTAAGAGAAATAATTAGATTCACAGATATTTTAAGAAGTAGTGCTGATGGGGAGTTAGTGATTAATTAGATGTTGGACAAAGGTGAGGGAGGGAACAAGGATGACTCCAAAATTTTTATATATTTTAAGTTAGTTTCAGAGTTGATTCTCTCTTCCTCAGCACTAAAGTCTAGCAAAATCAAGAGTGTTCTGGTAAATGCCACTGCCTACCAACAAGTTAATACGATTTGCCTAAAATTAAGATCTGGCTCCTTGGCTAATGTAGTGTCACTATATTATTAACAATATAAGACATAAAGGGCTGCTGTGAGACAATTTAATTTAGTTGATACATTTTAAAACTATATGAAGTGGTTAGCAATTTTAGGAAAAAATTACTGAGGTTGTGAAACTCCAAGTACTTAAATTTAGTCAAGTTAAATGTCCAAGCAAATATTAAAAATTGAGCAAAGCAATTCAGCCTTTCAAAATGCTTCCTTTAACAAAACAAAACTGAGATCCCACCAAACTAAAAATCCCAGTAAATAGTTAAGCTGATTAAGTTACTCATTTACATGCATCTCTAAAACAGGGACTAGGCTAAAGGTCACATGAGGTGTCCTGAAATTTTTATGTAAACCACTAAACATCTCATTAATTTAGTGCTTCTCAAATTTTAGATCAGAAATACCTAGCAAGGTTATTAAAACACAGATTGCTATGTCCCTTCCTCAGAGTTTCTGATTAAATATGCCTGGAATAGGGGGAAGAGTTTGCACATCTAATCAACAGCTAGGTGATGCCAGCCATCGCTAGTCTGTGGGCCACACTATGAGAACCACTGCATTACTTTACGTTAACTATGTTCAAAGTTATAGTAACTAACTGGATTATTTTAACTGAAGATTATTTGATACAGAGTGACAGACATTTTTTAGTGGTTTAAAAAGATGGTTTCCCTAAAACAGCTATATTTTATTATAATAAACTTATACCTTAATAAAATCTATTTTTAATAAAATAGCTTCCTAGCAAAACATCCCATGGAAAAAAATTCTTTAAAAAGCAGATATTTTAGCATTTTTTTTGGCTCCCAATTCCCTTACTAATAAACAAACATATAATCAGCATTTCAGAAGGCAATATTCTACCTGATGTGAGTCATATTACCAATCTGATTCAATGGAATAAGAAAGTAATGTTTATCAAAAATTGTCTTATGGATTTTATAATATTATTATTATTAGAAAGTTAGAATAAAATTAAGTAATTTAACCAAGCAACATAGATAATTTTGGCATGTGTTAACATCAACTTACCAGCTGTTACACAGTCATGGATCCAACTCTTAAAAGATATATTATAATAACTACAATATAACAAAGGATACAGCAGAAATATGTAGAAAGTGTTAAGGGAGTACAGATGGAGTGAATCAGCACCACATACTTCTAGAGTACACTTGCACAATAATTAGTATTCAAATTTAAATAAACAAGATGTACTATTTAGTTTTATTGAAGAATTTAGGAATATCTAACTATAAGGGATATTGTAAGTTAAAAGAATGTATTTTTAAACAATGATGTTAGGAAATATATATCCCAAAGTAATATTTTCTAGCAGCAATCATCTTTGCAAGCCAAATAATGCTCATATTACTTTAAAAAACTCTTTGGAACAACAAAGGATTGCTAGAATTGTTAGGATTCCTTTCAGATTTAATATTTAAAGTATAAAAGATACCCATTCTCATTTTTTATACTTTGTACTTTTTGTGTTACATCCTGTGTGCTTTTTACCTGTCGGATAAATACAAATTGAAAAAGAAAAAAATTAATTTTCCCTGGTGCAAAAAGGGGAAAGACCCCTTCTTCCCTTTTCTTGGAACATTTTCTTTAGAAAATTTATTCTTTTTCAACTCCTTTGAGATCTTTTCAAAAGCAAAATAAACCTCTTGCCAGTTTTACAACCCAGGAATATTTTCTTAAGGACCTGGGGGCCATCTCTGAAATGTAAACATCAAGGCAGATGACCCCCAATCTCCCAGTTGCTGTGAAAGGGTAAGGAGCCTTTGGTGGGTGCCTTGCTCCAACTTGCAAAACTAACTCTTGTCATAAACTTGAGTTTAATTTTCCTTTGCATAAAGCCAATTAGCTAACACAGACATTCACCCAATTACCAGGTGACTTTAGGGATGAACTTTGTGTGACAGTAGTACTACTGAGGCTTCTTACTTGAAGACTCATTATTATTTATTTTTGAACGTGCAAAGAGTGGTATCTGGCTATAAAAAGGAGTGATATTTCTTACTGTCTTTACAATCTCTTCTACAGATTACCTATACAATACACATAACATTCCAGTTTAATGCTTATTCAATGATAAAACTGTTTTCTTTCTCTTCTACTTTAACAGATTTTTTGTCTGTTTTTAATTATATTTCCTCAATACAAAATTTTCTTTGGCCGTAATTAAGCAAAAAAAAAAAAAAAAAAAGGCACAAATGCATACTAGGGAATGAAAAAGTAGACATATATATTCCAGCCAAAGTAGATGTTTAGAAAATATTCTAGGGATAGTGATAGCCCTATCAGGGATTCACATTTGAGATCCATCAACTAACAATTTAATTAGGACTACGTTCCATCACGGCCTACTATAAACCCTTCAGCTATCTTTATCACTGTTCAGCAACAACTGTTTGGCTAATTAGTATATACATCTTAGAGAAGGGTTTTCACAAAAAATAACAAGTGTTGGCTAAGATGTGGAGAAAAGGGACCCCCATACACTGTTGGTACGGATGTAAATTGGTACAGCCACTATAGAAAGCAGTAAGTAAGTTTCTCACAAAACTAAAAATAGAAATACTACGTATCCTAGTAATTCCACTCCAGGGAATTTATCCGGAGAAAACAAAATCACTAATTTGAAAAGATACATGCACTCCTATGTTTCTTGCAGCATTATTTGCAATAGCCAAGATATGGAAGCAACCAAAATATCTATAGATAGATGAATAGATAAAGGTGTGGTACATATATACAATTGAATATTACTCAGTCATAAAAAAGAATGAAATCTTGCTGTTTGCAACAACATGGTTGGACCTACAAGGTATTATCCTAAGTGAAATAAGTTCGGCAGATAAAGACAAATAGACAAAAACCATATGACTGCACTTATATGTGGAATC